TTGATGATGATGATGATGATTATGATGACCGTCTAAAGAAGTTCAAGAGTGTTTTCAAATGCATGATTTATGTTCTTTTTCTTTCCCATTTAAGCTGAAACTCGTAAAAACATTGGGCTCCATTATCCACGCTCGTTTACTGGGCGCCCATAAAAACGCAAATATTGAGAGACTTAATAAAATGGCTGAAGGCAAAGGCCCAAAGCTGGTTTAATCAATAAATAGCGTATCTCATTTATCACAAATCATCACAAACATGCGTGTTTCAAGAAATATGTACTGAGCCCAGTAAAGCTGAGGACAGTTAACCGTCAAAACAGAATGATACACATCATGATTCCGTCCCACCCGCAGGAGATGCAACCTCGTACCCAAAATATAACAAGCTAAAAGAGGATTAAAAACAACCGTCATTTATAAAAATAAAGTTTTAACAAATTGCTGATCTCATTGTTTCCACCCGATTTCTGGTGTATATAAAAAATTGTTTTCTTTCAGTTTAAAAAATTTGTCACGTACCTGCCGTATTTATAATTTATATAAACATTATATATTTTTTTTATTTGTGATGATTTTCAAGGTAAGGAGAGGCGAACAGTGGAATGTACAAGAATCGATGATGGATCTTACGTTGGACATAAGCTGTGTTTACAGAAGTCAAGAAAACCAGCAGTAGAAAGGTCGTGCAACACCCATCCATGCCAGCCTGTGTAAGCTCAACGGTTTTCTTTCTCCTCATGGAGTTTTTCCGAACTAAAGGCAATTTAACCCCTGCAACACTAGCTTCAAGATTTCTTGACCACCTCTTTTTGCTATTCCTAAGTACAAGTAGCTTGGAGGAACGTTGACATATGAATAACTGTGTATGTAATGATTGATTAACCCATGATCGAAACGCCGCCAGCCAATACCGATGTCTGTGGCCGAAGCATACCGGTTAGATAGCTGTTGAACCAGGACAAACATGGCTTTTCCCGATGGACGTCAGTTTCCCGGTGATCAGTGGCGTAATTAGTTCGTGCAGTATAGTTTTTCCGCAAGCTTTTTTGTTGTTGTTGTTTTGCATATTTATTCTAGTTCTTAGGGTTACCTTAACATGATGTTTCAAACCCATTTCTTGCCTGGTTTATTGACTCGACAGACCTGAACAGTTTTTTAACGAAATACTAATCTTGTGACTAAGCTAATTACTAACCGTTGCTAATATAAGGTTTCGAATCCGAGATACGCTCGAATAGGGGCTTATATGTAGGCAAATTTGAAATAATGTGTGGAGGGGACAGAATAAAACTGGAAGGACTGCATTTCTTCTTAACAATGCACGCCTCCAGTATCTAGACCAAGATTACTCATCCACCTGCATGCAATTTAACCTAACCTTGTTTTTTTCTTTCTTAAAGTTGGTACATATCAGAATGGAGTTCTTGCTCCAGAACTTGCGGCAAAGGAGTGCAAAAGCGTCAAATTCGCTGTCGCCGAAAGATTTCGCAAACCAAGTTTGAGATCCTGCCGGACTCTTCTTGTAGTGGTGACAAGCCTTCGGGAGGTACGAAAAGAAGCTGTAATGAGATCATTTGTCACGTGGAATGGAAGGCAACCGCCTGGTCACAGGTAAGATCATCGGTGGTGCTGATTTACAGTGTATTTAAAAAGTTTGTCTTAATAATTTCCATATGGTTATCGCTTGAAAAGGCAAAAATGGGCAAGTAATTTCACTGGAGCATCGGTAAGGTTTTTTTTTCTGATAAATTCCCAACATTTTCAATCAGTTTTTCATCACTCTTTCTTTAGTCAGATGGATGTGGAACTTACACTAACAATTAGATCATGACTTCGAGATTTCTATCACGTCATAGCTGACGAGGACGCAGCCCGAGTCAACCATTGGAATCGATTATACTGGTAGTTGAGAAAATAGAATAACATTTGGTATAATGTACTTTTAAAAAGGCACTCTTTCCATGGAAACGATGAGCTAGAAACTTGAATTTTGCAAGAGCCATATTTTTGAATAAATATATCAAACTATGGCACATAGAACATGTAATACTCAAGAAATAAAAGTACTGCAGCACGTTTGATTTCGACAATTACACAAGCTTTTTAAACCATTATAATTACCAGCATAATATCAGCAATACTAAATTGACGGACAGATGAACCCTATTTTGATGGAATTGCATCAAAATATATCTAACACCAAAAACGTCTGTTGAAGCTACGTTTTTATGGCATAAAAGTTTTTTTATTATAATTATTATTATTTTCTTTTTTTTTGCGAGATCCTGAGGGCGAGAGTTTTTCATAACATTACTCCTATACTAGCTTGATTTATTTGGGGGGGCGGGGGAGCAATTTTTAGCGCTTTTTCAAAAATCTGAAAACGACACGTCGTATTTGGTTAATTTAGAAAGCTCAGATAATAGAAAATAGAAACGATTTATTTTGTAGCCAACCGACGATCTAAAATTTAGCAGTAAGGAAGACTCTTTAACCTACGAAAACGTTGCGTCACAATTTTACGAATTATAATATTATGCTAAATATTCAAAGTGTACTACATTCCCGCGGTGATAGATAAATTACGTTGCAATTTACCGCGCTGTCGTTTTCCCTATTTTACCTCGGCGTTCAAATGCCCTCTGGTGAAATTTCAAAGGGTTTCAGAGAATCAATGTTAATAAAACTTACTAGTAAGACTCTTTGCACTATCAAGATGGTGTTGAATGTTACAAAAATATGTTATGTAGCAATTTTCAAGGCGTTTAAAAAAAATGCTCGAAATCGATAATTGCCCAAATGTTATAGCAGGAGTGACATTACTAAAATTTACAATCTAGTTTGCGGGAATAGAAAAAAAAAATCTGTTTCTACTGTTTATCCTAAAAGAAGTACATGACAAGAAAATTGAATCTATTTCCAACAACCGATACGATCAAGGTAAGACTGGTATAAAGCTGATTGCAAATGCTACGGTTCAGAAAAATAACAACAACATTATTGAGACACCTTAAATGACTCTTCGAACTTTTCATTCCAATTTGGAAGCTATTTATGGCAGATTAAACTGATCAAAAGATAGGAGACAATTAAGACAAAACTAGCAGTCTGTCTTAACTCCACACAGATTAAAAGATGTTAAATTTGGCGTAGAATTATTTTTCACAGTTTTACTTTTTGACATTCCAGTGCTCATCAACGTGTGGCGGAGGATTTAAGAGCCGCAATCTCGTTTGTAAGCGACTAAATGACAAAGGAAAGTTGGTGATAGCTCCTGAGATTCTCTGTTATTATGCTACTAAGCCACCGACCGCAATGAAGTGCAATATGGAGCTTTGTCCAAGTAAGATACTCATTGTTCGGATGTACAGTTGACTCCCGATAACTTGATCCCTTGCAAACTCGAACCCCCCGCTAACTCGAAGTAATTTTCATTTCCCTTCAGGCCATTATCTATATAATTTTACCCTCGATAACTCGAACTCCCGATAACTCGAACCTTTTACTATTTCCCCAGAAGGGTCGAGTTATCGGGAGTCGACTGTAATTGTAAATCATTATTATAATTTATTCTGGATTTATATTCACATAACAGAGAAATATATTTTGTGCTAATTAAATTAATGGGATAAGTTATGAAGGTAAACTCTGTAGCATAATAAGTAGTGTTTGGCATTTTATGCAACATGCAATAAGCGGCATGTTTTGAAACGGACTAGCTTTAAGGCATGGTCAATGCTCCAAATTTTTCGGAGGCGTAACTTGCCCAATCCCATTGTTTAACACCTCACTTAATCTCTGATAGTAATGTTGGTGCAGACCTCTCGCGTAAAAATAAAATGTACCGTAATATTCTCGATGGAAAAACCACCTTGGGATATGAATATTTAACAATTTCGATCACCTAGAGACATGGAAACCCATCCTAAATAGCTTTTTCACCATAAGGAGGATCGTGTTTTTTCCATACATTGAGATTGATGTGCTGCATTCATGTTATGTTCCTGATATATTTTTATTTGTATTATTTTTTGCCACGTTATTTGTCGCGATATGTCTCAACGTGCGGATCCGAAGCAAAACCACCAGTCTGCCATATTTTCATTTTTCCCATCTCCTAAGAAAGAGGATACAAAGTCGTTACCCCGTGAAACTGACAGCAGCGCGTTCCCTTCGCAGCGCATACAATAGTTGGTATTTCGATTATGTGTTTACATATCAATTTCAAAATTATAATGAATAATTTACCGTTTGCAGCTCCCGCGCCATTGTTTAAGTATAGAGGTCTTGGCTGCTTTAATGACGGTGAACCACACGCTATCCAGAATTTTGTGAAAAGTTTTCGTTCAAATATTGATTGGACCAAAATCAGCGAGATCATTGAAAAATGTGCACAATTCATCCACGACAACTATCCTGAGAACAAAGTGTTTGGTATCCAGTTCTACGGAGAATGCTGGACTGGAAACAAAGCAAAGGATACATATAATTTGCATGGACCATCAACAGATTGCTGGAACAACGTCGGGAAAGTTAACACTTTCTACGTCTATGAATTTTATTGAGGTAAGCTAGTCAAGTTATACTGGTCTAGCTCTCTCGTTGCTTAACGTATATCTTGTTTTAGGGAATCTCCTTATTACGTAACCTCTACCATCATCTTAATAGTTAAATTATGTTTCGCTCTGGGATCAGAACTGTTGCGAGTGGTCTGATGGTTAGGATTTGTAAACTGAGTTCCGACCTAAGACAACTAAGTTTACTTAAATAACAAACTACATGCCCTGTATATCATGGCTTCAACGAGCAACAACAACAGCATCACGGGATGCCTACAAAACATTATATTGCTACGGTGTGTTTATCTCCTTGGGCGAAACGCAACCAAGACAGACAAAATTTCGCCGTAATTTGTCTCCTCGAGATTTAGACTCAAACCCAAGAAGGTTAAACACGTTAACTGGGAAGAGCCTTATTCTATCAACAATTCAATTACGTCAATTCAGCACTTACGCTTTAGCCATTGTTATTATTCACACTTTCTTTCTTTGTTATTTATCTTTGAATGTAATTATAGTTAATGGAGCATGCTTTCTTGGGTTCTTATAAGGTCAAACGGTTTTACAAATGCCCTTTGTAGCTGACGTAAAGCATGTTTTGGTATGACTCACGTTGAGTGATACCAAAACGTGCATTACACATCGAAAAACATTGTGATCTTTTTTAAAAATTGTGCCTAGTCATAATAAATGAAATACAGACGTATTACAAAGGCTGTAAACTGCCATCTTTTTTTCTTTTATTGCAGGCGTGATGGCTTAGGAATTGCAACGTACTCATCATTGACACTGATGAAGCAAACAAGGAATGTTATCTCAGTTGAGAAAGAATATAATCGTTTCAAAATAAAGAAATGAACTTTAAAGATGATGAAACGTGGTATTTATTTTCTTTTTTTTTATGGTTTTAACGATGCTTATAGGGCATTGTTTTTTAACTGCGCGGCCATGGGTCAAGTGCAGTTCTTGCTTCGCTCGTGGGTTATTTTTATTTAATTTCTTTTTTCGTGTAGGTACAATATTATACTGCTGTATAATAATAACAATAATAATAATAATAATGATTAAAACATAAGCAGGCGAATATTAACGTTAAAAGCCGACGTTTCGGCGTCATCGTGACACCATTCTCAAGGCAAATTCTCAAGTGAATAAATAATGCGAAGATTTGATTTATATATTAGGCAATCAAATTCGTTAGAAGCATTCGTTGGATGCTTTTTATAAGAAAACTTAAACCATCCCTAAACGTGCAAACGGACTCAATTCGCGCAAAAGTATTCACTTGAAGAACTTGTGATCCTTGTTATTATGCTAATTCGTAGAGACTATATAAATCAAATCTTCGCGTTATTTATTCACTTTGCCTTGAGAATGGTGTCACGATGACGCAGAAATGTCGGCTTTTAACGCGAAATTCGCCTGCTTATGTTTTAAGAAATAATATTGATAATAATAATAGTAATAATAATAATAATCATAAAATAACAATAACAGTAACAATAACAATAGCAATAGCAATAGCAATAGCAATAGCAATAGCAATAACAATAACAATAGCAATAATCGCAATAATAGCAATAGCAATAGCAATAACAATAACAATAACAATAATAGCAATAGCAATAGCAATAACAATAGCAATAACAATAGCAATAATAGCAATAATAGCAATAGCAATAACAATAACAATAACAATAACAATAACAATAATAGCAATAGCAATAGCAATAACAATAGCAATAACAATAACAATAATAGCAATAGCAATAGCAATAACAATAACAATAATAGCAATAGCAATAGCAATAACAATAATAGCAATAGCAATAGCAATAACAATAATAGCAATAGCAATAGCAATA